CGAGACCAACGCACTGGAAACTCTGAGAGGTTAATCCCAGCAACAGATCCATGTTCCCATAACAAAGCCACGGAGCACAAACGCCACCGGTGATTTACCAGCACCAGGAGCTGCAGAGCATCCCGCCCCGTGACGGGGCAAACCTTTCTGGCCCAGCCTCCTGCTCCTCTCCAGCGGCACATTCGGCAAGGGATGGAGCAGCTGCCAAGGAATAGTGCTGCCCAGACTCCGGCCAGCACAGGGAGGAGGGAGCCAGGCTCCCGAAAGGCTTTTCGGTTGTCCTCGGTGCTCTGCGGACAGGGCTAGCCAAGAGCCTTTCCATCCCACAGCCTGTTTTTTTCCAGGAGTTTATTGTAAATTGGGCTCTGGAACGGGCAGCCAGTGTGAAATTTGGCATGTGTGCTGCTGGCTTCAATGCGTCATTAAAAAGGCATTTGAAACGTGTTAATTCCTCCTTTTTCAATTAATTGCTTTTAAAGCTACATTAACGTGCATCAAAGCAAAATCCCCTTTGCCCTAATTTCTGCTTTGCCATACGTATTTCCCAGCCTTGGTGCTCTTTCTTCCAGAACTCCCCCCCTTCCCTCTCCTTATTCCAGGTTTTAGCCTGTAGCACAGCAAAAACACTCACGAAGAAAGGGAAGGAATTAAAAACCTTCAAGGACGTAAAGCTGAGCCCAAGCCCTCCACACACACAGCTTCGGAACGGCCTTCCTCCATCAACAGCCGTTAATTATTCGACAAAGAAGGGAAGTGGCACTGTCCCTTGCACGACACGGAAATCTGAGCTGCAGAAAGGGGAAGAGACTTACCCGGTGCCCAGCGGCCTGCCAGGGCAGATGGCAGCAGGGTTCAGGTTTCCTAAGCCTCCACCCAGCCCCGCAGCCGTGGGATTACACGGATCCCGTAGGCATTCTGCTGGAGCAATAGGCTACGCGTAAGTGCAGCTGGCCAGCCCTTACGAGGGGTCGAAACGCACATCACGGCTGACTCACATCCTATAGGAAGGAGCTGCAAACCACATACGTGGTGGAAAAGCAGCCTCAGGAATGGGAAGAAGTGGAAGCATAGTGGGAATAAGAAGGGATGAAGGGAGAGGCAGGACTAACCTCTTGGCTCTGGGGAGCAGGCACAGCGCACTCGCCGTCCCTACGGGCAGCGTTGCACATCTGCGTGGAGCCAGGGCACCGGGCACATCCCTCGCCAGCCTGCTCCAGAGCCACCTGTTCCACTCTTATCTGCTCTGACGTGACCGACATCCATGACTTGATCGGAAATAAGCAGAGGGTCCTGGGAACAAGCTCCTGCCTCTCTGCCAAGACCATACCCAGCAAATCTGCACCCCGGCAGCAGTTCCAGCGAACCTCGCATCCAGGCTTGCGGCGATGGAAACAGTCCTGCCTTAGTTTCACCTGGTTGTTCTCAGCAGGTCAAGCGAGCAGAGTCACAGAGGGAGTGCTGGCACAGAGGGCACAGGGGGGGAAGTTCACTGCCCCCCGCCCCCAGCAGCGGGAGCGCAGGATTATGTGCACCGCAGCATCACAGCGGTGAAAGAGGTGGTCGAGGGGGAGCAAGCACACAAGAAAACAATCTTCTCTTCCGCTGCTTGAAATGAAACGCCAGCATTCGAGGACATGAGCAATTCCAGGTCCACAAGGAAAGGTAATGGCTTTTACTAGACCAAGGGAGATTTCACTGTAAAGCTGCTGCTGTCGCAAGGCACGCTGCCCGAAACCACGCCAGCCCCCCAGCTGCAACGCGCCGATCTGAGAGAAGACGTCACCTCCTCCTCACAACCCAGGCCTCGGCCGGAGCAAGGCCACAGCCATCCAGAACGGGGCAAAGGGGCCTGGCTCACCCCACACCTGGGAGAGGTATGGGAGGAGTACAAGACCCCTGAGATCCACCTCTCCGCTGGTTGTGGTAACGGGAAACACTCTGGAACCTGTCGCCAGCATCTGCCACAACAGTGACTGCCAGAGCACAGAGCATGGCCCAAAACAAGGCCTTTGAATGTGCAGGAATGGTGTTAACTTCTCCCCCCTGTGCTGAAGACCCGTAAACCCAACGTAAGGGGTAGTTTTCAGGCATGTGCTAAATTCACACCACCACAGACCTGATTCTGCATCTCCGCTCCACGCCTGCTCCGAAACCAGAGAGCAAGAGGTACCCTGAAAGCTGCATCCATTGCTGCAGCGTTAGTTACATCCCTTGGGATGGTCGGGCTGGCACCCAGAGCTGACAAGCAAACCCCCACCCTTCCTAGCGATGGGTTTGTGAAGCTCAAATTAGCTGCATCTGCAAAATCACCAGGAAAAGCAGCCCTAGCACCGCTACTTGGATGACTAAATTGAGCTCCTCCCCACGCAGTGACTGCAGCAACGTGGAACGGGGTAAGGGGTAAGCAAACAACTCCTGGGATACTCTGTCTGAGCAACCACCAGCGTGTTGAGTAATCCCGGGCTCACGTGGTGCATCCTGCCCACAGAGCTCGCCCGGCCAGCAAAGCTGCCCCCGAGATGCACCGAGTGACTTCGCCAGGCACTGACGGATCAGCACGCTTCTCTCTCCGGCTCCGGGATGGACGTCCTGCCACCATGCCGAGACCCCTGGCTCTGCACCCACCTTGCAGAGCGCTTGCCGGAAGGGAGGAAAGCTTACAGAATAACCCCCAAGGACATGCTGAGCAAGCAGGGGAAGCACAGTGCTGCTGGAGTGTCTGCAGGGATGGAGTAGAGTGGGGATTAGCTGCCAGGATGGGCTGCATCAGGAGGGGTTGGTTTAGAAGCTCCCGTCAACCATCCCATCGAGATGGTCTTCATCAGCCCTTCTAGGTGGTGATTTACACCACCAGAGCCCAGTGCCCAATTCAACTGTTGGGAAGAAGTGGTTTTGCACATGTAAACAGCCCAGTTACACACATGTCCAGAGCTGGTGGCCAAAGACCAGTCTCAGCTCTTGATGTTTCCTCCAGACCAGCACACCCAGAACAGCTCTAACACGCTGCGGCTCAGGGCAATGCACATATCAGCTGCTTCACCATCACCTTCGTGTCCACAAGCACTTTACAGCCCAGTCAGAGCACGACTGCTCAAGAATAAACCCCAAAGACTGCCATTAATCCGATGTCCCAAGCTGTAAAGGCAGGTCTACCTTCAGAGCAGTGGTCCTCCACCCCACACTTGTTCAAGTGGTTGGGGGCAGAAGACAGCACCAAGACCATCCTAGTGTCACAGTGAGCTCCATCAAACCCAGGCTGGAAACAGCCTTGCTAGTCCTGAGCAACTAATCCAGCCTCACTTAGGCCCCCACCAGTCAGGAACACCACATTTTCTTCTCCTTTCCAGATCCTGAAACTACAAATGACTCCACTAAAAGCATAATCTTGTCTCGCTGAATTGTACCTCACAGCTTCTTCTCTCTCTCTTTCATTAACCAGCGTTTTAAGCCCCATAAAATGCCTGTAATTCTTGGAAACGTGTCACAGACCAAGCAGCAAACGCAGCCCCAGAACTCACCCGCTAATGCCTCGGGAGCAGCTTTGCCTATTAGAAACAAATAGCCGAGACAACACGTGGTTTTCGGGTGAGCGGAACGGAGCTGCTGATGGAAATCATGCAGACAGCAAAGCCATCCTGCTTTCCTCACATCTTTGGAGAGGGATATTTTTTGGTTTGTGGCCAACCGGTTTTCTTTCCCCACCAGCCACCCAGCCCAGCATCCCCCAGGGGTACACACTATGGTTCAGAGCCAGCTCAACACATCCCGGTGCCACGGAGAGCGGAGTCCTGGCTGCTCACAGCATCCCCTCGTCAGGATGCATCTCAGAGGGAGCAGCAAATGAGACACGGAAGACCCACAGCACCTCCAAAGCATCTTTTCTGAGGCAAAACATTACCAAGAGCCGAAGGAGACCAAGCTGATGTGTCTGGTGTGTTTCTCAGGGCCTCGGAGTTCAAAACAGAGCTGCTCCATCCCTTCCAGCACCAGCTCCCCATTCCTAATCAGGAATGCAGCCCTCTCCTCCGGAGATCCAGCCAGGCCTCCCTTGGCATCTCAACAACCCCAGAGGTAAAGGTCCTGCTCACTCGAGACAGGGCAGACTGCTCTCATGTAAGGCCCATCAACGCTGCACAGATAGGAGACTGTGAATATCCCAGCACTCCCAAATGAGAGCTTTCCCACCCATGTGTTAGCCCAGTCAGCTCCCACAGCGATACGGCAAAGCACCCTGTGGTCCCAGGGAAGGATCCTGACTCCCTTCCCATCTCCCGAGGGCTCGGACATCTCCGAAGCCCAGCCTGCAGCTGCACTAGCCCTCGGTGCCTGCAGCGCGAGCCAGCTGCTCCCACAGCCTGCTCACCTGGCAAGACTTCCCTGCCAGCCAGGAGCATGTCCAAGCTCCAGGTAAAAATCAAATACAATTCACCCCAACCAAGCACGAAAGGACATCCAAATGGGCGCACAAGCAAGGGATTTGTCTCTGAAACATTTATTACGTGGGCAGAAGGGATAACTGCAAGTCAACAATCGGCTTTGTTAGACGAGACCAGGACAAGGGCAGCTTTCCCGCAAAGATTATATCAAAGATCCACCAGCAACCGACTCCAGCCCTTCAAACACCGATATTAAACCAAGAGATGTGATAAAAGAGAAAGGTCGAGATACAATCAGATCAGGGCACAGCATCCAGAACAGCCAGATGTGCCCATCCCTAATGCAGGTTCCAAAAAGTTCTGGTGCATCGAAGAGCCCGGGAACTACAAGCCCATGGCTACAACACTTACAAGGAACGCCAATATGCCTCTGTTTTTGAAAAAGGGTCACCACATCTCAGCGAGCATCGTCCAACCCCACCAAGCACAGCTCGATGCACCAGGAACCGACACCTACACTGACTCCAGCAGTGCTGAGCTGCGAGGGTGGCTCTGCACAAGCCAAGCGGATCCCAAAACACTGACGTCGCACCCAGCCGGTATCCCGGAGTGCCGCCCCCTTACCTTGGAGAGATCCTCCGTCCCTGCCTGCTGGCTCTGGTTCAGGAGAGGCGAGTGCCGCAGCAGCGGGTCCTGCAGCAGATCCAGGCGTGGTCTCTTGGTTTCAATGAACTCCAAGTCCGACGGCTTGGTCAGGTCAGAGAGATAGGAATGCGCCTCGGTTCTCAGGTGTAGCTCCTGAGACCTGGGGACAAAGAGAAAGGAGCCTTGAGAAAACAAACCACTCCAGGACTGCAAGCCACTCAAGGAGGACAGCGGGCTCAGCTTCTGCCCCAGAAGGATGCACAAAGGGAGGCTCAAACCTCTCCAGCCCTTGCAGAGCAGGAGGCACAGCCCCACAGCTCTGCAAGGTGCATCTTCCGGAGTGCTGGCAGAACCAGACATTCCCAGGGAGCAGGACACACAATGCAGCATCACCACTGTCCTCCTCACCCAACAGCCCACCCCGCTGTCCCACTGCCACCTCCTGCCCCACCACCCGCCCAGGACAGCTGGCCCTACAGCCAGGCAAAGCGACTGAGGCTGCGGGTTGGACCCTTCCCCGTCAGGCCCCGTGAGCCAGAACAAGTCAAACCTCAGGAAATCCTCCCCCTCAACCCATAAATGCCCCTGCAGCCCCTCCTTCTGCCACACTCGGCTTTAGTAAGGACCTGCACCACCGTTTATATTTAGCATCTCCTACAGGAATACCAAAGATTATACGCTGGGGAATAAACGCACGCTCCTCCGTGGCTAGACAGTCGGGATTTATTTTTCCAGGACGGGGGAGGACAGAAACTGGGCACACGCAGCTGCACGTCTCCGACACGGAGCTGGCAAGCTGCAGAGGCACGTTACCCAGCGATCGCGACTGCCCCGACAAGGCACGTCGGGCTCAGGGGTCCTTCACCTGTCAAATATGACGCAGTCGGTAACACCAGGAAACTGGGGGTGGGTTTGCTTTGTTTTAAACGAATGTAAAGCTTCTTCCGTAGCTCCGTTTTTCCTAGCAGGATTCTCCTGTGGGAATTGTAAAGGGATCCTACAAAAACACATTAAAGCTTTTACTGTGCCCGGGGATGGGCTTTGCCACAGCAGCTCCAGGGCTGCGTTTTTAACACTTCAGGCAGAAGCATCTTAAAAAAATAAGAATAAAATGAAGCACAAGGGATTCCAAGCTTGGAAAAAAACACGGCTTTTATCTCCTTCTCCCTTGAACAAGATTGTTCGAGTTCTCCTGAGCTGCGTGAAGCGCCCTCCCCAGTCACCAAACGGCCCTCGGAGCTACTTGAAGCCGGGGAGGGGATATGTTTTGTCAAAAGCAAGCATAAAAGACAAGGGGTCTTGTGCATCACTTGGCCCCCCACCCACACACTGCAATGCTGCCATTAATTTTCACCTCGCTAATTAAGTATCTCAGAGAGGATGACAAAAAGGGAAGGACCTGGAGCCCTCGGAAGCCAGTGGGAGCCTTTCCAGCAGTGTCAATGGCTCTGGAACCGCATCCAGAGGGAGGAAGCACCCAGGGAAGCCACATCAAGTTGGTTTGTGTTATTTTCTATCTAAATATCAACAGCCGGCACAGAGCTCTGCTGCGGTGGGTCCGGCACAGGCGCCCGGCACTGGGATCCCACACAGGCGCCGGGGCGCTTGGATGCAGGCAGCAGCTTTGCTGCTGACACACACATGCAAAATCCGGCTAATCCCTGGCAAAAAAGGGATGGGAGAGCAGGGAGGCTCGGGCATTGCCTTCGCCATTCCAGCCTACGGGAGTGAGGGCACGGCTCACGCAGCAAACTTCTCAGGGCAGAACAAGCCCTTAAAGTTGGCAGTGGGGCACAGCTCGTTTCCCCTGCAAGCGCCTTCCCACCGAATGAGCCTCAACTTTTCTCAGCTAGCCCAGAAACCCCTCCTGGCACCGCTCGAGTTTCCTGCTGGCTCGTCCCAACCCCTCGTGCAATCCCTGCCGTCCCACAGCTTCGCGCTGGCACCCTGGGCTCTGCCATAAAAACTGGGAACAATAAGCAACTGTTGAGCTGGGCAGGTGCTAAAATATTCCAACACCCAAGACTCCGTGGTACTGAGGCAATTAAGAATCAGATGTATTTATTTTCACTTCCTCCACCCTATTTTTTTTTTTTTAAGGCCTTATTACCCAGAAGCTGCTAATTAACACAGGACAGCTCTGAGACCTCTGCAGTTGTCTGGAGCCCAACAGAACCCGGCACAACTGCTACGCTCCCAGAAATACATGTCTTTCCAAGGTAAGTGTGACGCTCAGCCTCACAGAGGCAGTTACGGAGAGCGAGGCAGGGGCCACGCCGGGGAGAGCAGCTGCAACCTTACAGGGTGCTATTTTATTTCCACTTCCACATCCATTGGAACTGCTATTAACTTTATCCACTGGAATTTCCAGCCGCTCCAGAGACTTTGCCTGACACTACCCGCTCAGCCTGTCCTGGCTACAGACATAAATGCTGGAAGCCTTCTCACCCCTCCCTCCACACCCCCACCTGCACAGCTCCCCAAAACCAGCTTCTGTACAGCGGGGACATTGCTGCCAGCACCAAACCAGCCCGGCCTGAAAAACCCTGCCCCCGGTTTGAGGGTGTTGCTGCTTCTTCCAAGTAGTTCCCACCTGGCTGGTTTATTCCAGAGATCCCTACTTCGCTGGAGGAAAAGTGTGTTCTTTAATGCACGCGAATCCGTGGAATCATGGAATCACAGCACGGTTTGGGTGGGAAGGGACCTTAAAGCCCACCCAGCTGCCCCTCTGCCACAGGCAGGGACACCTTCCTCTGGGGTTTGCTGTGACTAAATGAAATAAGCCAAGTGCCAGCACCACTTAGGAATAAGGATGGGCTAGTCCTTGCCACGAGCCCTTTGCCACAGCCCCCGAATGACTTCCAAGCATCTGGGACCCGCCGACACAGCCAGGCTGGTGCCCAGGGTTTGCCCCAGCTCTGCTTCAGAGATAACGCAGGGTGAGACCTCGGGTTTATGACCGACCTGATCACCAACGCAAGCCCTACCAGCTGCGGAGCTGTGTTACCCACTCCCACGGCCAATTCCTCAGCGTTAGGGAGCAATGAGCAGATTAAATCCAACAGTAAGAGTGGGGCACCTGCAGCTCGCTCCAGCACACGTGTGTGGGTCACTAGGACCTGGGAAAAGATCTTCTGCTCCGTTACACCTACCCCAGAACCAGCTGAGCAGGAGACAGGCTGAAAAGAGGGGTTGACTGCTTAGCTGGGTACAGAAGAGAGAGCACCAAACACCCTGAGCTGCCCCTGGGGCTTGTCAGAGCCGCCCTGATGAGATCTAAACAGGCCTTACCCTTAACCTTCACTTTGCTGACGCCAAACCACAGGCAAGTGCAAACTTTTCAGGAGGTCAGGGCGGGCTCTCCCACCCCACTAACCCAGCTCAGGAGCACACTGCCCGGCTCCTCAGCAGCACAACCCTCCCGGCTCTTCACACCTTCCCGTTTCTCCAGCAGCGAGCAGCAGAAGGTGGCAGCAGAAGAAACGGCCCCTACACTGCAACACCCAGCAAACCCAGCTTGGCTCCAGGAAGACGCGTCTCCTGCTCCAAGGGCTCAAAACACCGGCAGCGACTCCGAGTCGGCTCCCACCGACTTCCTAGCAAGGGCACACTTGGAGCTTTGCTCCCATCCATGGACATCGCTCCCTATGTCACGGTGCCAAACAACATATCCAGGCTGGAAAACAGGCTCTCGCTGTCTCCTGGAACGTGAACCAAGTCAAACGATCACCCTGCTGCCGCTGTTTATGTCCTCTGGCTGGGACGGTCGGGTGGGAGATTGTCTCCAAGCATACGTTTTTATAAGGAAGAGAAAGAAGTTTCCAGCCCCCACAGGTACAGACAATAAAATGCTTTTGAGAGGGAGCAATACAGAAAACTGATGCTGAAGTGGATTATTTATAGCCAGCGCTACGGTTTGTCAGAGGTTTCAGCAACCCCCTTACAGCTAATGAGAGCCAGAGGGGGAGACTGAGCAAACTGAGACCCGTTGAAGAGAAGCCGGGAGGCTGTAGGAGCAAACCTGGCAGCTGGGAAAGCACGTACAGCCGATAGATCCCACTGTCACATAGCTGGAGAGGGAGAAACACCATCACGACTTAACAACAGAGGCCAGGGAAGAGCAGCCTGTGTGGGTGGGGAAGGTGGAGCTCCCGCACCCCCGGACATGTCTGCCGGCAGCAGGATTGAGCCCTCGCGAGCCCAGGGAGTGGGACAGCCTGGAGTGGGACGCTCAGCTCACCGCGTGGCCCAGCCCGAGGGCTCCCAGGTCCTCACGAGGTCCGACTGAGTACCAGTGCCCAGGTGTCCCTGCGTGCATCCCTGTGATGCTCCGGCTGCGTGTTCCCATGCCACAGGTGCCTCAGCCACCCCACGCAACCCCCCAGCTAACTTACTGGAGCCAACTGCCCTTTAGATGAGAGCAGGTGCTCCATTCCAGACTTGCATAGTGAAGATCCAGACACAGAGCCTGAATTATTCATGGGCAGGACCGACAGAAGCTTTACCACTGTGCCATGCACCGGCACTGCCTCACTCAAGAGCAGGAGAAGGAATTTTTGTGCCTTTCTCCAAGCTCCTCTATGGGATTTCTCCAGACATCCAAAACCTGGAGGCCCAGGGAAAGCACTCCCAACAGCCCTGGGTGGCTTCAGGGACATCCCATGTTCCACCAGGCCTGCTGCATACACTGCAAGATCACCTTTCCTCCCCCCAGTTCAATCTGGTTCATGATGATGCGTGGGAAAGTTGCTTCCTGAGCTTCCACCCTCCATCCCAGCCATGGCACAGCCCAGGATTCCCCCCACACCTCCCAGCCAGGGCACGCTGGCTCGTTCCACGAATCCCAGTGTCCTGCATCCCCTCTCCGGAACCTCGGTCACTGTCTGTGCCCACCCATGGACATGCCCACGGCCACACCAGAGCAGGGGTACGTGCAAGACAAGGCTTCTCACCAAGCACCCACACACCAGCCTCTGCCCTTCCCAGATGGTATTTTCCCACGTTCATTTAATGGGGAAGGGAAAAAAGTAAGACTGGAGGTCCCAGAACACCATTTCAAGCATGGAAAGACACAAAGACGTATGGTTGCAGGGATTTCAGCCGCACCGCTGCTCGCTCACGAGAAAAGGGTCACCTTTAAAGATGGAAACTTAATTAAAGACCATAAATAACATCCGATCGGTCGTGCCGTTACCACGGGAGCGGTTGGTGCTGTTTGGGCCAGCGCAAACAAGGCCCAAGAGCTGCACGTGACTTCCAGTGGCCACGCACACCGCCCCGGCTTCCCATCGCTCCTGGGGCCCCGCAGCCAGCGGGATTAATGACATCCAAGGAGCACAGTAATTAGGCCCGCTCTCGCGCTGCATCGCACATGGCCGCAGCTGCAGGAACACAGCAGCTGCTCAACAGGTCCCAAGTGCCGCAGGTCAGACCAATGCCCGGCAAAACTCCTCACGCCTGCCGAGCGGGACGGCTCCGAGCATGGACGCCTGAGCTGGGAAAGGAATCGCCTGTGAGAACAGTGACTCATCTTCCTCAGGATCAAGGCGGAATATGCTGTGTTAACATGCACGCCGCTTCTTTACAGCCTCGAGGTCTGCCAGAGAAGCCATTCTCCACCCCAGCATTCCTTCGTTCCTGCGGAACCTTGCTCCGAAGTCCTAACACATATGAAAAGTCAGGAAAACCCAGTCCCTTGATTTTGCAAGCTCCTCACCCCGCTGGCACCTGCCATTTAATGCTCAACCCAGTTTTTCTCACTTCTTTTGTGGACCAAAATATATATAGAAGAGAATAAAAAACCACCCAAACCCTAATCCCTGTCACCCTGCCAGGACATTCCTCCACAAGTATTCACGGTACGACTTGTACCAACAGCAGATCCTGAAATACTTCTCTTCACTCCTGCCGTCCAGTTGGCACAGCCAACCCACCGAGCTAAGGGGAAGTCTGCGGATCCTTCCAAGAAAAAGCATGCTGCCCAAAATCCATCAAGGAAAGGCGCACATCCCTGCAGACAGGCAGGGACAGCTTTCCCAACAGGAAAAGATTCAAAGTGGCTCAAGTTTTCCTTCCTTCTCCCAAGAAAATTGCTGCACAGGAGCTCTACTCAAGCCTCTACCCATCCACCAAGCCATGATGATGGCTCAAGACCGATGGAAAGGTCGGCCTGCGACTCCAGCATCTCTGGCGGAACTGCTGCAGTGGGATGTGGGAGAAGGAGGAAGCCCACGATGGTGTGACACTTCAGGAACTGGTTCTCCCCATCCTGCCTGACCCATCGCCTCTGGGGATGTCCAGCTGCCTGAGCCTGACGCCCAACAAGATTCTTGCTCAGGGAGCCCCAAATCGTGGGACCATCTCAGCATCCCATGCCTTCCAGCGAGGTGCCGCTCAGCAGCTCTTTGCCACCAACCCCTGCCCGTGGCAAAATGCTCTGCTGCTTGTTCCCGTTTCACTGGCCCACAATGTATATCTAGACCCGACAACCCCAATTAGTATTTCCCCACATTCACGTGTTTGTCAACAAAAAAGTAGGTCTGGGGAGCTGAGAACATTTGAAGGCAAAGCGAGATGCTTGGGTGAGCACACCAGAGGAGGCTCAGAAAACAGCAGCCACCAGGGCTTGCAGTTGGGTTTTTAATTATATGGAAGAATCAAGATACATTTTTTTTTTTTAATTAACATATTCAGACCTTGAAACCTTCATGTTACTGGAAAGCAAAACGGGTTCTCCATCTTGCCAAGTGTAAGTTGTGTGAAAAACAACAAGCAGGAGCATGTTGCTGGGTCCTCTCTACCCATGTCCCCAAATTTAGCTGGATCTGACCCTCTTTCAGCTCAACGACATTACTCTGCACTCAGATATCAAGGCACGGGAACACAACCTGCTGCAATAAATGACCCGTCACCAGAAGCCCCATTACCCTCTGCACAGGCGGGTGCCACAGGCACAACCCAGCAGAGCCCTGACAGGAGGGAAAATGCAAAACTAACTTGAGAGGCTGCTTTTTGCCTCCAAATCCTCGTGGGTTTGCTTCTGCCAAGCACCAGAGCTGAACCCATCCTGCAAGAGAGAGAGGGTCCTGTCTGCACCTACACCCTTGTGTATCCAGCACTCCGAGGTGTTTCTCCTCCCCCAGACAATTATGATTTTGGAGAAACAGACTCATCTCTGACTGCACTGGTTTTATTCTAAGGAATAAGCACTTTTAAAAATGCTTTGCATAAACCTACTGTAGCAAGGCTCTTACTTCACTTCAAGGCCATTTTTTTCCAAAACCACTAAGCATCAAATGCAGAAGAGAAACCGTGAGAGCAGCACTTTGCGACAAAACAGAGTGAAGGACCCACAGCAGAGCAGCTCCCACAGGTAAAGCCTCTACAGCATCTCCAGCCACGGGGCGACTGCCTGGGTAGCACCCAGGAACAGTGCCGGCTCCCACGGGGGACCGTGAGAGACGGGGAGAGCTGTACGGGGGGTCGACAGGAGAAAAGGCAGCTTGGGGAAAGTCGTGAGGGGAAGGAGAAACAGAAACAACAGAAGCGGGAAGAGTGGCAGAAGAGGAAGTGGAGACATGTGGTGGAAATCATAGAATCACAGAATCCCAGACTGGTTTGGGTGGGAAGGGACCTTAAAGCCCACCCAGTGCCACCCCCTGCCATGGGCAGGGACACCTTCCACTAGACCAGGTTGCTCCAAGCCTCATCCAGCCTGGCCTTGGACACTTCCAGGGGTGGGGGATCCACAACTTCTTCTCACTCCTCCCTCCGGCCTCACAAGCCGCAGACCAAAACGGGCGTTACGGCTTTATTTTCTACACTGCAGGAAGCCGATGCAACTGGTGTAGCTTCACACAGGCGGGGGTGGGGTTTTTTGCTGTATGGTGTTTTTAAGATGTCTTTGAAGCACACAGAAATCCAAGGGAAGAAACCAGAAGGCAAAGGTGCCACTTGCATGAGCACAGCAAAGCAGAGAGGGGCTCGGAGACCGAGCACAGCCAGCTTGTGAAGTCTGGGGGGCAGAGGCTTGGGGGAGGTAAGGAGCCTGTACCTTTCGTTGCCTGGCTGGAACTCGGAGAGCAGGGATGGCCTCCGCCGCTGCGGCTGCATGATCGACCCGGGCGGGAGGTGGGAAGCAAAATCCCTGGAATGATGCTGGTACTCCAACAGCGCGACGTCCTGCAGAAACAAACAGAGGGGCTCATTAGGCTGGTGGCAGCTTCCCTGCACACAGTGAACCCTGGCAGCGCAGAAGAAACCCTACAGACAGTCCTCCTTCGCAGCACTGGGTGCTGGACCACGAAGTTCAGTGCTTTCTCCCCATAAAAAGTATTCCCGGTAACCCCCGGCCTTGCACCGTGTCAGGATGGTAGCTCAGCGCCGGGTCCGTCCTGCCTGCAGCCTGGCTCCGGATACGGGGCCCAGCAAGCTGGCCCAGCTGCCGAGCAGGCCCGCAGGGGTCTCTGGGACCCCTTGGTTGGCAGGGACCTTAAAGCCCATCAGGTTCCCCCCTGTCAGTCACAGAATCAAACTGTTTGGGTTGGAAGGGACCTTAAAGTTCATCCAGTCCCACCCCCTGCCATGGGCAGGGACACCTCCCACTAGACCAGGTTGCTCCAAGCCTCATCCAGCCTGGCCTTGGACACTTCCAGGGATGGGGCATCCACAGCTTCTC